AAGCCTTTCACTTCTGAGAAAAGGCCAGCATTGAGATCATTTACTTCGTCCAAATTAAAATTTGGAAAATCTGCATGCATTATATATTCCACCCGTGCTGGAGCAAATCGCTCTTTTAACTTGTGGGAGAAAATTGTGCAGGATGGTTTGTCCTGTAGGAAAAGTAAGGAAGCCTTGTGTCTAGTTGTATTGGCCTGTAGCAAGGGAGCATCTCATCTGTCCACTCCAAGTCACACACACACAGCAGCACTCACACACCCACACACACACACCACAACACACTAACCAACAGTAAATGAAGTCTTATGAATAATATGATACTTGTAGCTGTTTTTTTTCTTTATTAATATTTTTATAGCATTGATTAAAGTATGAAGCACCGCGACTATACACAAATCCCGAGCAATATTCATATTGCCATATGAGGCTGTCCTGGAGTGGAGCATTGTCATTGTTTATGTCAGTCCTCTGAGTTTCCATGGGTTGTTAACAGGATTGGTTCAGTTATGGTGGACAGTTATCTCTCATGGGGGTATCATTGTACTTTAAAAATAGCAGCTTTCTTTTGGAGAATGAACAACTCGATCTCATAGGATTATTCATGCCTTGCAGACTTTGACCAGTTTAGGATTTCACACTCAAGTACACCAAAGATACATCGCTTTTTTTGTTATCTTAAAATAAATTGATTTGATAAACCCTGGGTGTTAGGGATGGGGCAAGTGGATAATGCTATAATAAAGGGGGGGGGGGGGGGGGTGAAGAGGGCGCAAGATGTTACTTGTAGTCTGCTCTTACCCTGTAACTAAAGGAATGATGAGCTTTTGTTCATATAACGATTAAAAGAGTCAAGTGAGTGAGTAAAGAGAGAAAAAAAGAGTGGCATCTTTCTTATCTACATGAAATCCAATCATTAAATCCATGTTTTTCTTAGTTTATTGCACTGTATTGCTACCTTGCTCTGTAAAAGATGCTATTCCAGTAGGTGTCCTGCATTTCATTTAGCCATATAGCCTATATGTATATAAAGGATTCAATAATGATAAATGATTTTGACTTGAAGTGTGAAAAAGAGCATTTAATTATTTCAGTTTTAGTCAAATCAAAGTTTAATTCATGGTCACAACTGGCTGTAACATGTCACCTGTGACTCATAAAATGGAGCACTGTCTTGTGGTATTCGTTTTATGTTAACTCTCAGTCAAATTCATCTTTTGTAATGACACAAATGAGCATGTATATCTTAAAGACTGTAGTAAATCTGTTGCCCCTTGGTATTTTAACAAACATATCACATTAAATGTTTTGTCAAATTAGCTGTTTTTTGATTTTTTTTTTCTTTAAGAAATAAATCTCTCTAATATGAGTCAAATACTTTTTTATTGCTTTTAAGTGTCACTGCTTGTATTATTCTCTAATCCCACTCCCACCTCCTCAAGTTTTTACATCCTGCCACAAATAACTTTGCACCACTACACATGGCTGTTATAATAATCTTATTCTATATATTCAGGTGCATATTCCTATAAATGTATCAGCCTTGAAGTGAAGAGTCCAAAAATCCAGTCCTGGCTGCTTACGTCTACAAGTAATTCTTTATCTCCCTCTAGTGGGTATAATTGGGGATAACATATTTTCATCATACTTAAATACTAAAATGTGAATTTTTCACATGAATGTCATACTGAGGAGTTTCCAGTAGCAGGAATTGTAGTTAATCAAAACGCTGAACAAACTAATTTAGGGGAAAGATGAAAACCGACATTTGACCACAGCACAGGTGTAGCAAATGTTGCGTAATGACGTCTGATAACTAGTCCCTGACGTCTCTATAATGGCGGTGCCCTTGTTACAATGGGGACTGTTGTTGGCCACTTGTTCGCCACTTTGTCGTGAATAACTGCGGATTATTCATCCAGCTGTCTGTTTTGGGTGATTTACTCCGACGGCTACATGTTAAAGGTAAGAGTCGTGTTTCATTGCAAACAGAGGGGCTGTAATCGAGGTGAATTCTGACTAGTTTTGGCTCTTATCCTCAGCGGTGTTAACACCTCGAGTGGAGCAAGTGTGCTAGCCGAGGCTGCTAACGGAGAGTACCACCTGGATGGTTGTCAACTTTGACTGCCTTCATTTCAAAGTTGAATTCTTTTGAGCCTGTCAGTGTATTTAACTGACCTTACCCGCGTACATTTTGGATTATAAACAGTCGACTAACGTCAACGCATTAGTGGTTATTTGGCAACGTTAGCTTCACTACGCCAACTTTAAGTTATCATTATGCTAGCTCGGCTAACATGACTGATGCTAGGTTAGCGGTTTCGTTAACTTATGTTAATTCGGGGAAATAGTTCTTCGTTGTTTTTGATATGAGAATGAATGTATTCATTGTAATGTAAAATACGAAGTGTAGCTAATGTTTATCTGTATGCTTAGCGAAAGTCGTAACGTTACATTATGAATGAATGAGTTGACAAAACAGTATGCTCCCCTTAGAATCAGTAACCACATCTACTTTTATAATTATTGGACGTTTTATCCATTAGCGGGGAGTTAAGTAACTTAACTTAACAGACGTAAACCTGTACAGAAACTACACTGAAGCTAGTAATTCCTCCACGGTTCACATAGTTTGAACCATGAAGAAATAGTTTTGTACGGTCTTACAGTCTTGAGTAAAGATAATCATCTTTGTAGCTCAGGTTTTGCGGTTGTCACAGCTTGGCAAAATATTAATCTATCCAGAGTTAAGATGGGGAAAAGAAAGGGATTTTGATATCCCTGGTAGCTTCTATGTTAAGATTAATAAGGCAGAGTCAGTCTATCTGATAGTTTGTTAAATACACCAGCACTGCTAGAATCCAGGGCAGGCTGCTCCTCTCGTCTTCAGCAGTAAATCATGGTATTAACTGCACTCTCTGTCTATGCATTGTAACTTAGCAGTCCAGTGCAGCAGGTCCATCCAACGTGTCCTCTCCTCAGCCAATGAAGGAATCCAAGGAGAACTTGTCAATGACCGGCCAAGGAATTCTGGACCACATCAAGCCATGCTGGTACTGGGACAAGAAAGATTTAGCCCACACCCCCTCCCAGTCCGAAGGCCTGGACCCTGGCACAGAGGCCCGGTATCGGAGAGAAGGAGCCCGCTTCATATTTGACGTGGGGACCAGACTTGGCCTGTATCCTTGATTGATTGAGCAGTGTTAATACTGGGAGAACCATTAGAATATACATTAGTAAGACTTTACTTTTTCAGTGTGTCCCTACAAACAAAATGATTGTAAATGACAAAACATAACCGCATTCAAACTATGAAGAAAGTATACAGATAAAATACTGTATCCTGTAATGCTCTCTCTCGCTGATACATTTTCAGTTACATTGACATTTTGTTGTGAGCAGGAAGCAATTGTGAGTTACTGTATTTAATTATCATAGCAGCACAGTCAATGTGACACATCTGTTTCTTAGTTTATTTTACGTAGTTGCTGTGAATGATTTCTGTGATATCCTTGACTGTCATCAGACACTATGACACACTGGCAACTGGCATCATATATTTCCACCGTTTCTACATGTTTCACTCCTTCAAGCAGTTCCCCAGATATGTAAGTTCAGTCGATGCCTATCCTTAGGTTTTCCTGTCCCTGGAAGTTAAGTTAATGTGTGGGATTAATGGTGTGGTTTGTATCTCAACAGGTGACAGGTGCTTGCTGTCTTTTCCTGGCGGGGAAAGTGGAGGAAACCCCAAAGAAGTGTAAAGACATTATCAAAACGGCCCGCAGCTTACTGAATGATGTGCAGTTTGCCCAGTTTGGAGATGATCCGAAGGTAAGGTTCTGTTTTCCCTCTTTACACTGAACATTACAAGTTCAAAGACAACTTACAATGGTCAGTTTTGTGGTCACTCCGTGCAGAAAAGAAAGTAATAGTCTTAACCTCAAATCCTTCATAAACCAGCTTTAGAGAGCCCTGACATAATATCATGTAGCTCTAGAAAGAAAAAAACAAAAACATGAAGGAGAACATGCTGCAGCTTAATTGCCGCCATAATCTTATGTACCGTAGTAGGATTCTGCCTCTTGACTGACTGGTTACATGGGAAATGTTGTGTAGTGATTGCAAAAGTTTAATAAGTACACACTGAGGTAGGCAGATCTGTCTTGGCTTTGATCAAATTAAATCACACAATTCGGTTAGGAAAGGACTAGCTACACACACTGATTTTTTTTTTTTGACTTCACTCAATTATTTCTCACTCATGATGGCAGAAGTTAAAATTCCTCTATAGTCAGCAAATTTAGATTTGATTGTTTGATTAAGGTTGATTTTCATTTTACCACTTACACTCTCCGTATTGAAATGACCCGTTCTTGTTTTATTCATACTTACCGTTGTTATTTATTGTGTAATAGTATGCATTTGTCATATTTTCTCCGTAAGTAGCTGAATCATTTTTACATGAGGACATCATACGTTTCCTTTTTAATCCCTCCATTTGTAATGGCGAGCAGCTGATGGCTAGTAACATCCAGTGGGTTTCATGCACTATAGCTTATTTGATCCAAAATATTTCAGAGAACACTTTAGAAAAATCATCTTATTTAATGAATACAGGATGCAGTGATGCATCGTAAGCCCTGCTTGAAAGTGCAGTGGTCCCACCAACAGGGTTATTTGAGGTATCTGTATTTTATTCAACAGGAAGAGGTGATGGTGTTGGAGAGGATTTTACTCCAGACAATCAAATTTGACCTGCAGGTGGAGCACCCTTACATGTTCCTGCTTCGCTATGTCAAGCAACTCAAAGGTGAGACAGGATAAGTATGGCTTTAGATCCATGCAGTGTTATACTTTACAGTTCTAGGAATCTGGAAAGCTTATGGATCTTTTTCTTCTCGTTAAAGGTGACAAGAGTAAAGTGTGCAAGGTGCTGCAGATGGCCTGGACGTTTGTCAATGACAGGTGAGCAAATGGGTGCAAACTCTCCTCTTTTTACAGAGTACGTCTTATATAGTGCAATATGTTATGTAAAGGATGCAAGCCTACTCCACATGAAAATCCGAAACGCAAGTTTTTTTGGGCGACCTTATAAGCCATACTGCTGTCCCTGTATGAGCAAGAAAGAAAGACAGGACGGTGTGAGCCGGTGTGTATGCAGAGCCAAAAGTTCAGGTGTGTGTGTGTGTGGGGAAAAAAGAAGGAAAAGAGAGGAGGTTAAAGTAGTTTGTGAGTAAAGTGGAGAATTAAGTGGAAATATAAGAAATCGATGTAAATACACAAAACGGAAGCAAATGAAGAAAACAACTACATACAGTCCCACAGACAGCAGGGGAAACTAAGAAGTGATGGACACAGCTGGGACACACTTTGTTGCCATAGTTTATGACCTATGAAGTTTTAGATGTCTGCTATCAGTAAGTGGTGTTTGAGACTGATTTAATTTTAAATCAAAATGAATCATTATGGTGGGGAAACAAACGTGTTCCAGCCGTGTCTAGAGTGCATCACTTTTTAGTGTCCTCTGAAACAGTTTCCTTTGTTGTCTGTGCTACTTACAGCATGTCTGTATTTGCAGCATGTGTCTGTATTTGGTTGTTGTTTGGTTTTCTTCTTGCTTTGAGCTCTCAGGACCACCACGCAGAAACCACAAAATCATAAGAGAAAGCAAAAAAAACAACAATGAAGCAACTACTGAGATAGAATTAGAAAATTGACATTGACAATTTTCTAATTTTACCCCAGGATAGAGGGATCTAGATCTACATTTGTAAAGCTTTTTCCCTCATAGCTGACAAAACTGTAACCACATTTCCTTTGTCCCTGGCAGCCTGTGCACCATGCTGTCTCTGCAGTGGGAACCAGAGATCATTGCGGTAGCTGTCATGTACCTAGCAGGCCGCCTCTGTAAGTTCGACATCCAGGAGTGGACCGCCAAGCAGTCGTCACGCCGCTGGTGGGAGCAGTTTGTCCAGGACGTCCCAGTAGAGCTGCTGGAAGGTATTCCTCACGAAGCTATGACACCTCGTGCAATATTTGTTTCACCTCCTTTCAGACTCAACAGAAACATTGTCTTTGTCTTCCAGACATTTGCCACCAGATCCTGGACCTGTACTCCCAGGGCAACAAGCCCATCCCTCAGCAGATGCAGGAGAAGGAGCGGGAGCGGGCGCCTGCTCCTCCGCTCCCTGCTCCTCCAGTCCCACAGGGACAACCGCCAGCCGCCAACCCTCCTCCCCCACCACCAAAGAAGACCTCCCCTCAAGGAGGCAGCCCTGCACGCCAGCTCAAACGCTCACATGTGAGTGTGTGTGCTTGAATTGTTTTGTGGCTGGAAAAGTTTTCCCCATTTTAGATTTCTACATTTATTTATTTAATTTATTGTCTGTGTGTGTAATTTGATTCATACATCGACACTTAACATAACCTACCTCAAAGTGGGCACTGAGTATTTGCATTCATTTTGCGCTTTTTTTTTTTTTTTTTCAGACATCCCCAAAAGATGAACCAAAGGCTCCAGGTGAGATTCTGCTCATTTGGGTTTTAAAGCAGCTGAAATCTTGTAAAAACGTCTGTTGATCTACAGAAATACCTCCAAGAACGGTTTCCTAATTAACATGACATTAATTTCGATTAAGTCTCTGCAAGATTACAGGTATATACTGTAGATTCGAAGTGGCTGGGATTAGTGTTTTCCTGGCAGGCTTTGGGATTTTATGGCTATCCAAGCCTACAGCAAAGTTCCTTAATGTGTTCACTGATTTTTAAAATAGATTTTGCGACTTATTGGCTGATCTGTTTAACTTCCAGAACAAGTTGGATCAAAAATTCCCCGACTGGAGAGCCCCATGCCCCCTCTCCCGCTGCCTCCCCCAGGTAAGAGTGACTGTTTGTCATCTACAGTATTCCTCCAGTCAAATTTGTTGGAAGTTAGAATGATCTATGGTTACATCGGAGCATAGGTGCATGCTGGCGTCCTCTCAACACCCCGCTGTCTGTTTGCGTGTGCCACCAAATAGGCCCATAATGAACAGCCAGGACCCCCCTGCCTGGAAGTCGAGCTTAAAGCAACCCAAAGTCTTTAGTCCTCTCAGTCTGCTTACATAACCAGCAACTCGTCTGGACATTGTTTCCCAACACACGCACACTCCTAACCTCTCCCAGACCAATCTGATTAGTGCTTGAGCCTGATAATGAGACCTCCTATGTGGCTGAAGCCTGGCAGTCTTGGTCTAGCTGTGCGCTCACTGTCTGGGAATGGAGAGGTTATTTGAGATCACGGGTGAATGAGGGGCTTCGTGTTTTCCTTCCTGCAAAGAACAGCACATTTTTAACAAGTTGTTTTTCTCTTTGTTGTTCCCTCGCTAGACCGCAAAGCTCCAGCTCCAGCTCCAGCGCCTCCCACAGAAGCAGAACCGGGGAGTGAAGCGGCTCCTCCTCCCCCGCACGCTCCACCTCCACATCAGCCTCCTCCCCTACCCCATCGGCCCCCTCCGCCCCCGCCCTCCAACTACATCATGTCCACCACCAGCTCCTACATGTCCGGAGAAGGCTACCAGAGCCTGCAGTCAATGATGAAGACTGAAGGTCCCTCTTACGCCCCCATGCCACCCAGCTACGCACCCCAAATCCCACCATATCACCCCCATGTTTATCCACCTCCTGCAGCACCGCCTCCAGGCCCTCCTCCTCCTTCCACCTACCCACCACCCAGCTTGCCGCCAACGTATCCGCCACCGGGATACAACAGCTACCCTCCGCCACCGCCTCCACGCATGCCACCGGGCCACGGACCCCCTCCAGGCATAGGTCTACCGCCTGCTGGGTACCCTCCTCCACCCCCCGTGCCCCCTGGACAGTCTCAGGTGCCCCTGCCCCCTCCACCTGGCATGCCCCTGAACCGTGGTGGGTGGATGAGATGAGAGTGTGACAAGTGTCTGTGAACTGGATCTGTGCATGGCCACAGTTGGGGATGGAAAACTCTGTGCAGAGGGAGAGCAACCAGGAACAAACGGGGAGAGCTTGTTCCCCTCCAGTATGACTTTGTTTGATGAGGTTCTTAATGAAGGCTTAACTACAGATAGACTCGAAGGGCAGAGTGAGGTGTGGACAGTATTGTTATGAGAACCTGAACTGGCAGTGAAAGACCGCAGTGCGAATCCTGAAATATTTTTGAAATAAGTGGCTTAAACATGTACAGGATAGCGCTTAATGTGCCAAGTTCTGGGATCTTGTAACAACTACCGTCTTCTCATTGTTATTGTTCTGGATGTGTACCAGGAAATATTAGCGCCTTTAGCGCCCTTAATTTAAATTTTAGTTTTGTCACACATGCTCATTCATTAATTGTGGGCAGATGAAATGTACCATTTTTACTTGGTTGAGTCATTTATTTGCTTCTATATTCGATCACCCCGATTATGCTTAGGTTCTCCTGAATTCTCAGACATACTAAGGTATCAGCAATCAGTTTTTCTTTAGTCCGCATTCCCACTGTTGCGGAGTAAAACAAAGCGTGACTCAACTGGAGATGGTTGAACATACAGTAGTCATATAAAAAGGACCATGATACTGTAATGCATCTTCATGAATCTACAGTTTTATATGACTCTTGTCATGTTACTTTTTATTCTGTGAAAGCATTGAGGTCATAATTTTTTTTACTTCCATTAGACCCTTAGTTTTTATTTCTTGACATTTGTCTGTGAATCTGCACTGCAGACAGTATTAGAGTTATCACATCAGTCATGTCTAACACTGGACAGTCTAAGGTTATATTTGTACATATCTGGTCTTTTCATTTAGGCTTTTCTTTTGGAGAGTTTCTATCCATATGTGCCTTAGTCAGGCTTCTCTTCTGTATTCTGCATGCAGCTTTGGTTTTTTGTGAGTCGCACTTAGTACAATAAACACCTGCTTTTCCTACTTTGAACTGAGTATTGTGTTTTCAATGTGTATAAGGTGAGAAGGTCTTGATGATTAAGGTGTTACTGGATCCATTATACACAGTACACATGTACGTCAGATATCACATGAGCTCCGGTACCATTTTATCTGCACCACTCACGTTCTTATGAATGGGTTATAAACTGGATGTTATTTTAAACTTAATTCTATAAAAGTTGACTTGTCACATATCTAGCATACAAGTCGTACCCATTACTTTAGCTATTTCAACTGTTTATCCTCCACAGTTAACATCACAGCTTGCTTGCTGACTATTTGTCATGCACTGATGTTTTTTTTTATTAAATTAATTTCTCCTTTTAGTTTGGGTTATGAGCTTTCTACAAAGTACCCTGGTTTAAAATCACACATGTATAGAATTTCATAGACAGGTCTGTAGTTTTGCTTCCAGTACTGTACCAACAGAGGGCAGTCTAACTCATCCACTGAAGAAAACATGTTTGCTCCACCAAATAAAGACAGCACTTCGCATCATCATTAACCAACTTTGTTTATTTTCTCCCAGATTTTTCTAAAAGTGGCCTATTTCACCTGCCAAATATTCATCTCATCAGTGAAATTCAGAAAAGAAGTTACAGCCATGCTAGTTACTACAGGAATTGACATTTACTCTGTAGACTCTAGGATTCTGTACTGTGTTTTTAGCATATATTGTAGGCAGAAAAAAAGAAATCCTGTTTAAAAAAAAAAAAAGACAGTTGGGTTCCAAATCAAAACACCATGCAGAAAAAAATGTGGCACATTTCAAATCAAATGCCATATATAAAGTATTCAAAATTGTATCATGGCTTCAAATCAGTTCCTAGAAAAAAGGACACTTTTAAAAAACCATACTTTGATTTAGTTTTGACGCATTATTTGAGAGAACAGAGGTGCATGGCGAGCAGCCTCAGAAATGTTCTAATTTGGAACAAATAACACTAGAGATGGGAGAGCCTGAGCTGTCAGTCACTAAACTTATCTATAAATTTAAAATATGACTGTTCAGCTGCTGATAGCTCTCCTATCTCTATCGCACACCTGGCAATAAATACTTGGACAAACAGTGTTTGTTCGTTCTGACATCAAGAAATATTTTTAAATGTTAGTGTTTTCAGGAGACATCTAAGGGAAGACTTATCTCTCATATTCTAAGAAAAAAGATTCAACTTTAAGAAACATGCGCTGCATAAACACACCTGCTGAATCCATGGCTACAGAAAAGGACTGAGCTTAAGAGAAGTAACTTTTTTTTTTTTTTTTT